ATCGGGTTACTGGCGCTTTCCCCAGCTCACAGGAGAAATACTTTCCGCTCGCTGGCCGTTTCCTGCATGTCAGCAGAAAGCCCTCCCACACTAGGAAATGTGCCTTCAGATCCAGTCCCTGATGAGACCCAGTTCTTGGCTTCGGAGGATTTCTCCTGAGCCTGAAGCCGATTCCCAGCAGCAGCTCCTGTGTGGTTTTCCTCAAACACGGGCTCTGCTGGCTCAGGCTGGCAGTCATGGAGAGGCACCGCGCCGGGCTTGGGTCGCGTTCCCTCAAAGCCCCCGGCCCCTGTGGGCACCATGGAAGTGGCCCTGGCTGTGACCTGCATGCATGTGTTCCTCACACTTCATTTAGCTGCTTTTATTGTTTTTCAAGAATAATTTTAATGATATACTCTATACATAATGGCACACTATGTATAAACATATCCACATAACGTATATAAGTTATATCTCAATATTTATAGCAAAAACATGTACAAATTCCTAAATATATACTTAGAAAATTCCAGGGAATTTCAGATTTTCAAACACATGTAAATATGTGGTCCCATAAGAGTTTTCTCTGTTGCTTTGGGTGAACAATATCTATACAACCAGGAAAAATAATTTTAAAAATTATAATTAACCCCCCAAAGAAGAGGATCCTTTTTTTTTTGCTTTATAACATTATATTTTCTCTAGAAATACTACTCTGAGCTTTCAAAGGCTTGAAGAAAGACTATTTTCAAAGAAAAAGCATGTGGAACAGGTAGAAAAGTCTGAATTAGGAAATTATGTGGCATCTGGACATTTTTCCTATACATTTTTTAAGGAACTAGGTGTCATAACTTTTTTCCCATGGAGGGAGTAGTTGCCTTGACATTTGCTATAGTTATGACTAGAATAATATTTTTCTCCACAATATGTTTGAAAGAGTCTGAGTACTAGGAAATTTTTTAAGATATCAATAGGTGAACTTTAACTGTGAAAATGTTCTTTTACTCGCCTTAGACAAAATATTTCTGTATTTCTTGGACATGAAGCCATAAGATGTTGTTTTATCACACGGATGGTAATTAAAAGAAGAAGCAAGTCACCCATCGCTGCATTAATGTTACACGTTGCACTACTGAAGATGTTTTCTTTGAAGTTGCAGTGAGGCCTTATAATAGCACCTATTGTGTACGTACTATATGCTGTTAGGTGCATGGGTAGGTTTGTGTTCCTCTATGTCTCAGAGAAGAAACCAAGATAGCAGTTAAGTAACGTGTTGGACAGCACAACTAGTAAGCATGGCATTAGAATTCAAACTCTGATGGTTTAACTCCCTGGGACTTTAACCACCAATTTTAGCAGCAGAGCCTCTCTTGAAGCAAGAACCTGAATATATATATGTACATGGATCTCCTCTGGAGACACTCAGAGATGGACGAGTGAACTGTGCGTTCCTACGCCTCTGACCTCGAGCAGTCGACCTTCCTCCAGACAAAGCCAATAACTGAACTTGGGTCTGAGTAGATGCGAGCAGCACTAACGGAAATCTGAGGCCCTAGCAAGTGTGTTGGGTCTGACTGCGGCGCCTCCTGAACCGCCTGGCTGAGCGCCATCCTGTAGCCCTTCGCCAAGTGGCTCCACCGCCCCGGCCGCACGCTCCCTTTCCTATGAATAATGTGATTACTCATTTCTTATGATTCTCAGACCTGCTACTCTCAAGTTCCTCCAAGAGCAACACTTCTAAAAATAGAACGAAACGAGAGGACGCTTCCCTTCCCTTCTGGGGACCAGGACCCCCCCAGGTACCTTAGAGCGGTCAGTTCCCTGTGAGCCCTGGGGCTGCCCCTCCTGCCAGTGGGGTCCAGGCTGCCACCGTGAAAGCGTTCCGGCATCCGGCTCCTCTCCACACCCACCTCCTCCAGGCCTGAGCCCTCGCCCTCGGCTCTGAATTCAGACCGTGCCGCAGCCGCCTCGCCTGCACCTCGGCCGCCATCACCAGCTGTCTCCCGGCAGCCGTGCTTGCTCACGCTGACCTCAGCAGGGCAGCCAGCGCGCTCCTGCGTGCCCTCCTGTTGTACAAACCCAGCCTTACCCTGTGACATCGATGTCCCTTCTCCCCTGTTCTCCCGCCTGCTGAGCCAGGCCAACCTCCACACACCCTGCACACAGGGACGGCCCCTGCAGGGCTGCCCGGTGGTGTAGACCCCAAGTCCTTGCTGCTCCAGATACAGGACGATTGCTGAGTCCAAAAACTGGAGGCCAGCCTGGACAGCACAGTCAGAGCCTGCCTCAAAAAAAAAGTCCCTTCCACCTCCTGTGCAATTATCTTGTGATTTACAACTTCCAGCATCCTAAATAATTTCCCCAGTCCTTTTAAAATATTTTTTTTTTATTTTGAGACACAGCCTCAGTAAGTCACTTAGTCTTCCAGGCTGGAATTTACAATCCTACTGCCTCAGCCTCCCAGAGTGCTAGGATTACAGATGTGCACTGCCACACCCCGCTTTTATATTTACTACTTTTGTGTATTATATGTTTCCCATGATGAGAATATAAGCCTAAACAAACAGGTACTGGTTAGTGAAGACCATGCTCAGTGAACGTTACCGAAAGCCGAAGGTGTTGGCCTCAAAGAAATAAGACACGAAGGAGGGAGAGCATGCTGGCTCGAGGAGGACAGCCTCCCCAGGGCCTGCAGCTCCACCCTTTCCTGGTCACTGCTCCCTGGGTTGGTCAGGCCTGTCTGCATGGGGGGTGGGGGGCTGGTGATCTCCACAGGGCCGCCGCAGGACAGCAAGGAGTGTGCGTGTTGATCGTGCAGAGGGGAGATGCTCACTACAGAGTCACCGGCCAGTAAAGATCTGCTACCGCTAGTGGTGATAAACAATCATTTCAGAAAGGTAGGAGGTGTGAGCAAAACACGCAATGAATGTTTAACGTTTTATTACAGCAAAAGACACCTTGCCAGGAATCCCCCTCAGCAACCCCTGCTGTGAACATACTTGCCACTTTCTGAGACAGAGCTGGAAGTCCTCCTTCATGGGTGTTTTTCTCAGGCATGACCGTAAACGCAGTGAATGCTGCCACTGGGTGCATCCAGCAGAAAGGAAGGGACATGACAGGGTCACAGTGTGCCCTTACCCACCTCATTCGCTGTCAGACTTCTGGATCTTCCCCCAAGTCGGAACGAGCATGACAGGTAAATGGTTGGATGCATTCAGGCTATCAAAGCAGCAAAAAAAGTAACTAAAGATACTTACGAAGGAGGACTTCCAGACCTGCTGCAGATCGTGGAGAGAACAGCAAGCGAGGTGTGTTCTGCAATAAGCAATAATCAGCGTGACTGCTGCAATAATTTTTAATTTAAACCTTCACCATGCTCTTATCATGCCTTGTATAGCCACAGGACTCTGGGAAAGAAAACATGTCTTGTATGTTGTAACAGTTCCTTGTGAAGCAGTATTGCCTGATGGTTACTAGCTTTAAAAACGTCGGTGATTGACCTAGACGTGAACTGGTCACGGAGACTGATCAGCCTTTAGTGGTGTAGAGTCTGAGGAGAGAATTTCCACAGACACTGCCGTGTGGCTAACACTGCGAATAGCCTCGGTCAGGCGTTCAGCAAACCTTTCATTCTCAGGACTTTTTTACAAGCTTAAAAATTACTGAGGACTCCAGAGAGGATTTATATGGGTTATACCTTTTGGTATTTTTTGTATTCAAAGTTAAAACTGAGAGTTATTTTAAAAGTGCATATTAACTCATTTGAAATTTCAATGATAAACCCACTAGATTTTAAAAATAAATAACAGAGTTTTTAAAAATTCCAGTGGCAGGGGTGGCACTGCATCACTGTCATGCAAGCCTCCTCAGAGCCGGGTGCAGAAGAAGAGAGCTGGGTTCTTCATCTACGATTGCAGTTCATCTGCTGTGATATCCATGTCCCGCAGCCTTGGGAGCCCCTCGTCCTATCATGGGAAAATGAGAGCGAAAAGGGAAACCTCATCAGTACTGCTAAGAAAACTATTTCCTCCTTGTGGCTCTGAAGGGGTTTAAGAGACCCTCCCTGCTGAGGCTGCCCTGGGGCACGCCTTGAGAGACGCTAGCTGGGTTGTGGTTCTCTTCTTTTCTTCTTGAGGACTAATGCAAATAGAACAATCTATAATTTTCACATAGCTTTTCCACCTCTTTGCTGTTTTGACAGAATCTGATAGGAAAGCTTAAAAGACAGAGATTAAACTGTCTCCCCTTCCTTTAGTCCTCAACTGAGGAAATAACTTTTAGAAGCGAGATTCTAAGAGATTTAAAACAAAGATTATGATCGTTGCTCCTAGCTTAACAGGCAGAAGTCATTCCACCACAAAATAGTTGTCCAAGGTCCAACCTTCACTTTAAAATGGTCTGTGATATAATTACACGAAGCACTGAAAGTTCTTTTATGCTAAAAAATTCAAATTTTCCTTAGTTATCATTAAGAAACATCCCAAGAAACAAAAGTAGAAGGTGTCACCCCAATTTTCGTTAAAGATTCCCACAAAAACAAATAAAAAAGGGAAATTTTCCGTTAAAATACCATGAGTCAGCATTGGAAAGGAAAGATAATAGTGGACATTTACTAAAATGGGGAGAACATTTTAACAAATAAACCTCCCACTGGGCCAGATTTAAAAACATCCTTAACGAGCACCAGTGCTCTGCTCCTCCCTGCCAAGGCAGGGAGGGGGGCCACCCCGCCCACAGCTCCCAGCCCCGCGCTGGCACCAGCGGCTTTGCGGAGGAGGAGGCCTGCTCCTGAGACGCCTGGGCTTCTGCTGTCCCCCTGACCAGTGTGCAGAAGACCCTGCCAGCAATTCAACACGGCACATTTTTAAGGAGAGTGTTGGGAGCTCCTCTAAGAGAGAAACAACCGAGCCAGGCGGGCTTCTGGCCTTGAGGTCAGAACCCTGAGCTTAGCCAGCTGGGGCTGAAGAGAGGCAGGGGGTGGCAGCGAGCTCAGGGCAGGCGGAGTGGGGAAAAGTCTCTGGGCCCGGCTGGGGTGCAGGGGCTGGTGGGGGTTGGCCCTGCCCGGGAAGGGGCTCTGTGGCCTGATGCAGCATGAATAGTATGTGCTCTTCCTGCCCACTCTCTGAGCCAAAGCCCTCCAGCTCAGCCCCGAGGGGCCGCCTGCACAGCCTGACGATCGCTGGAGATTCGGTCAGCACTGGCCAGGCCCCTGGCTAGCCCCGCGGTCCAAGAGGAGGCTGAGTAGACTCAGAGCTCGGCGACTTAGAAACACTGCAGGGAAGCTGGCCTGGAAGAGCCTCTCCTCGTCTAGGATAAATGACCCTGGAGGATGAGCGCGGTGGAGTCTGCTGATGGCTTCCTTCCTGCCTTCCTTCCTTCCGGCCTGTGCCAGGCCTCAGGGCTCCGTGAACGGTCACTGCCCGCACAGCACTCAGGTGTGCGCACCCGGCCCGCTCCTGGCCTGCTGCTCCTTCCTCTGCTTTCTCTGTTCTGTTGCACGGCTCCAGGCTCTGACCACCGTGGAGCACGGGGACCCTGTCCTCCCAGGACGTCTCCTGGGTTTTCTCCAGTTCCCTTGGACTTCATGGGTGCAGCAGGGTAGGAGTGGCTTCGTCCTGGGGTCCCTCACGGCGTCTTCTCTGTTCTCTTTTCAGCACTGAAGGTGCAGGTCCAGCTACTGGGAAGTCCGGTCAGGAGAACGCAGAGCGGGCTGATGAAAAAGATCTGAATACCATAGGGACCCCCTGAAGGGAGAGCTGCGGCCTTGCTGCAGGGCACGGAAGCACAGCTTGAAATGTGTCTGTACCATCCTCTTAAAAACAAGCTGAGAGAAGAGGAGACCGTGGGAACCAACGCCATGAGCGCAGAGTAAAACCTCCGTGGGGAAGAGAGAATGGCAACTTGACACGCAGACTGTCCTCCTGCTGTGTGGGAGAAGAGCTTGACAACCCCTCGCCCAGAGAGGATGGGGGAAGTGACGCTGGGGGGAGATGTCAGAGATGAGCAAAGTTCATACAGACCAAGACTGTGAGCAGTCCGTCTCCCCAGAGGAGAGGCTCAGACCAAAGGAACAGAGCAATCAATTCAAGGGAAAATGAATAAAATGATGCATAAAGTGAATCTCCCCCAATGTCAAAAACAAATCTGACTCTGGAGGGTTAGAAACTAGAATGACTGTTATGTGTGAACAAAGGAAGACAGAATTGGAAGGATCCGGGGTGCATTCCCGCTGGTGACCCCCTCCTCCCCGAAGCCTTCCAGCAAGCCAATGACACGGCTGTGTGACAAAGCCCCAAGCAAACCCTCTGTCCCCCAGAACTTAACCCATCTCCTTAGACAGCAGGGGTACCGTGTCTTCCTAACTCCCAGGTTTTATCAGACTCCTCAGTATTGATCGTGATACCACGGGCTCCTGGGTTCCTCTGCGTCCTCCACACACCAAGGCCAAGACGCCATGCAGTGTAGAGAAATTCACCTGCAGGGACCCTGGTAAGGGGTGGAGGCTGGTGGTGTGGGGAGGGGACCAGCAGCATCCTCCTCTCGTGCAGTGCTCAGGGGGCAGTGGAGACCCCTTCCTGGAGTGAGCCTGCCTCCGACCCTAGCTGCCCTTCCCGGTTGGTGGGAGCAGCCGCGAGCACTGACCTGCCTAACTCGGCGAGCTGTTTCAGAGCGCAGGGCTCGCGGGGTGGAGACGCCGCCCCGAGTTGGAGGCTGCTGTCACATTCCCATGACCGCCACAGAAGAACAGACACTGCAGTCGGCCCCTGGGCAGCTGGGCACCAAGCGTGCCGGGACACACGTGCAATGTGAAAGTGAGCGCTTCCCTTTGCAGAGCTGAGAACCTGCGCGGGGAAGACGAACGGGTGCGTGCAATTGCTGCAGAACCTGCGAGAGTGGAGCGTGTCCGCCCTGCAGGCACCCAGAGCAGGAACAGTAAACCCCGCCTGGAGCACAGCGGTGGACAGCACAGAAGCGGGGCTGAGGGGTGCAGTGGGCCCTCCAGCGGAGACCTCACGGGGACATTCTCAGGGGAGGGAGGAACCTTTGTGTGATGGGCGCCTGCAACCCGTCTCCCCGGGGACAGGCTGCACCCCAGTTCCAGGGATGCTCACTGGGCACCTGAGGGGTGACAGGGAGGCCCCAGGAGCTCTCACTGCCAGCCTGGGTTTGCCACACTCTCAAGTCTCTCTTTCTTGGAAGGCCCCAGACAGCATTCCAGAGGGAGGCTGATGTGAGCTGTGCCGGCAGCTAAGCCGAGAGGGACGTGGAACAGCAGAAGGAAGACTGTTTTTACAACACAGGAAGAAGGCGGAAGACACGAGGGAGGCTGGTGTTCGCAAGGGACTCGCCGGCCCACCCACCAGGCCAGAGTAGAGGCTGCCGCTGGCCAGCGACGGGCGCATCTGCAGGGAGGGTCAGAGTCACGTGGCAAAGCGTGTCGATGTGCCGAAGAAATGGCGGATCATTCACAGGCAGCAGAGCCCTGTGAGTTCTTTGTGTTGTTGTATTTTGCTTTGTTTTTGTGGTCCTGGGGATTGAACCCAGTCCCTGTGCACTGAGCTACATTCTCAGCCCTTTCTTATTTCGAGACAGGGTTTTATAAAGTTGCTCTGTTTGGTCTTGGACTCAGGATGTTCCTGCCTCGGTCCAGCCAGATGGCATTACAGGCCCTTGAGGGTTTAGGGGCGGCGGGGTGCGGGGGGCAAATCTAGCTCAGAAGGGGTGGTCAGGAAGCTCTGTGTGTAAACCAGCGCAGAGCAAGGGGCAGAGGGAGGCAACCCCTGGCGGACAAATGGCACGTGGGCATGAAGGGCAGATGGGGGCCGGTGAGGGTGGAGACCAGGGCCCAGGGACAGGAGGGCTACCACACTCGGAGCTGGAACACGGGTCTGAGGCTCCTTTGGAGCAGCCATGTGACGACGCCCAGGGGGTTCTTGGAAATCTGTATTTGGAGCAGGGACAGCACAGCTTTGACTAGTGGCTTTCCTTGTGGTTAAATCTCTGCATTCAACATTCTAAAGCAGAAGCATGGCATTTAAGTCACTTTGATACAACTGACTGGCTAGGGTCAAAATACCAGTGTTCAGAACGAGCTTCTAAACAGTATTTCTGTTTCTCGGTCTCCGTCTTTGCCTCTGGCTTTTAAGGTTGTTTTCGTTATTATCATTACTGTTAATAACAGCAGCTGTACAAATTCACGGGCTCCGCTGTGCCGTTGCACACACGCATACCGCAGTCCTCGGCAACCACCACCGGCCTCTGCCCACCCCACGCGGTCTGCTTGGTCTCCAGAAGCCGCTCTTCCACTTTCAGCCTGGCTTCTTTCCTCTTCCTTTTTTTGCTTTTTCTGGAGTTTCCACATACGAGAGACTAGGGGCTGTCCTCATGTTTGGGTGTCTGGTTTATTTCGCATAACACGATGCCTTCCACTCCGTCCGTGATGCTGCACAAAACAGGACTTCTTGTTCATGGTGACTGCCTCCTCACCACGCGTACACACATGTTCTCACCTGCACATCTGTTTTGTTGAGCAAACTTCACACTGTTCTCCATTCTAGTTGGGCTAATTTACACTTCCGCCAACAGTGTGTGACTTTTTCCCTTATCCTTGCCACCTTTTGTTGTTTTGTTGTTGTTGTTGTTATTGTTTTAATAATATTGTTGCTCTAACTGGACTGAATGGCATCTCCCTAGTTTTGATTAGCATTTCTCTGCGGGCTTATGATACTGAGCACGTTTTCCTGTACTTATGGGCCATTTCTACGTCTTCTTTTGAGAAATGTCTATTCAGATCATTTACTCATTCAGCAATGGATTACTGGTTTGTTACTTTTTTCAGTTGTTTATATATTCTCATGAATCTTCTGTCCGTCGTAGCTCACAAATATTTTCTCCCATTCTGTGGGTTTTCCCTTCACTCTGTTCTTGATTATTTCCTTTGCTGTACAGAAACTTTTTCATTTGAGGTAACACCATTTGTCAACTTTTCTTTCTGTCCTGTGCTTTGGGAATCCTACCCAGAGAGTCACTGTCTGTACCATGTCTTGAGCTGTTTCTGTTGATTTCCTCGGTAGTTTATTCACCCGTGGATGAGTTCAGGGCTGCTGTGCTGCTGGGAGGCGGGCCTGGTTAGAGGTGGTTCCGGGGGCCGTGACCTGAAAGGGTGCGCTCTTGACCCTGGCTTCCCCCCTCGCTTTCTCTGCTTCCTCGCTGCCATGAGGTGAGCAGCTTCCCTCCACAGGCCTTCTCACCACACATTTCTGCTAGGAGGCAGCTGGCCATGGACTAAACGCTCTGAGATTGTGAGCCCAAAGCCCTCTCCTCCGCTCAGCTGTGGCGTCAGGTGAAGTCGCCGTCATGGGAAGGTTGACTAACACATCTGCAGACTCTGTCGTAAGCAGAGCCTGAGCCTGGCCATTTTTCCCATTCCAGTCCTGTGGGATTCTGCAGCAGTCCTATTGCTAGGAAGCAAGGTGTGCAGGTAGGAGAAGTCCCTCTGTTCAGGCGCTGCCTTCTGCTGAGCCTATGTCCTGGGCCGTGTCACATGTCCTCTCAGCTTTCCCCATCGAGGGAGGCAGAAAGGCCGGAGGCAGACAGTGTTGGGTGTTTTTCTTCTCCTGTTTTGAAGGCTACAGAGGGCTGCAGTTTGGTTTTCCTTGCTCTACACTGGTACGGCTGTGACTCAGTTTAGGCTTTGTCAACAGTTCGTCCTGAGGGCACTGGTCCAGAGGCACAGGATGCCCTGGGTGTGTTTCAGGATGGCTACTTTTCCCTTCCTCACCCAGAGCAAGAGGGCAGCTGCTCTTTATTCTCCCCGCTGACCTGGAGGGGCTTCTGCAGATCAGACTAAGCCTGGATCTCGTGGCTTTTCTGACCGCTCTCCTCTACACTGAGCACCATGACATGGTGCTAGAGCACCGGCCTCTGCCCCCAGGAAGCTGTGGTCCTCCTATCCGCCTCGCGGGCACCCTGTTCTCCAGACGGCAGTTTACCTTCCGGATGGGATTTTCTTCAGGAGCTGAGAAATGCTGTCGATTCTCAGTTGGTTCAGCTTTGCTTCTCATTCCAGGGACAGAAATGAAGACTTGTGCCACCCTTATACATTGACTCAACCCCAGAAGCTGCCCGTCCCTGCGCTCACCCTGTGACTTCTCCGTCACCTGCACCTCCTCCGCATGGAGCAGAAGCCCTTCATTTACATTCCATAATGTCGTAGTTACTTTCGTCTTTGGGCTTTTCCTTTTAAAGTTTGATTCACAAACATACTTCCTTTCCCTAGCTGCAAAGACATTCTCCTGCTTTTTCTACTAACTTTGTAGTTTTACCTTTCACACATGGGACTTCAGTCCATCTGGAAGCCACCTTTCGACGTGGTGCTACGGAATGAATTAGAAGGGGCCGCCTCCCAGTGGAGCCCACGGAGCACCGGCCCCACCCGGCCACAGTGTGTCAGGTTCCCCTCCCGCAGCTGCCTCCCTGGGCTCTGCTTACCCCAAGGGTCCGCTTGTCTGTTCTTGTGCCAGCACTGCAGGCTTTAATATTACGTTGAGATTCAGTAGAACAAATTCTTCCTCTTTCTTCTCCACTTTAATGTGATTCAAAAAGGTACTTTTGCAGGAAATTTCTTCTGGATTTAAATCTCTGCCTAGCACCCTCCAAATCTTTCATGAAAACAGGAACACAGATTCCTTTAAGGCAATGTTTAAGGAAGGAGACAGACAGACCGACATCCCTTTTCTCAGCCCAGGCTGGCAGGCTGTTTGTGCAGCTGTCCCGCCGTGACCCTGCCCCTCTCTCTTTCCCAGCTCTCCCTGGAGCTGGGGAAGTGCCCTTCAGCAGGGATGACTGGGGTGACAGATGGTAAGAAGAGGCATCTCTGTTGACAGCCTTATTAGTGTCCTTCCTTACAGAAGAGCCATCCAACTCAAGAGGCTGCTCACTCCTGTGATCCCAGAACTCTGGGAGGCTGAGGCAGGAGGATCATAAATTTGAGCCCCTCCTGGGTAACTTAGTGAGACCCTGTATCAAACTATAACATAGTTTCTTAAAAGGTCTGTAGATGTAGCCTAGAGCAACAGCACTGGATTCAACCACCAGTACCACACACACACGCACACAGACACACATGCATACACACACACATAGAAGCATGCACACGCACATACATGCACATAGACATACATAGAAATGCATAGCACACACATGCATATAGAGACACATGCACAATGCACATAACATGCACACACACTCACACCCTTGCACTTGCACATACACATACATGTACACACAGACTCCACCCCAGAGCTCTGGGGTGAGCATCTCCTCTGTGGAATGACTGCTCAGGAAGGGAGGTTATTCCCTCCCTAGGCCCCACGGCCTCCCCTGCACAGACTCGGACCTCAGCCGCCACCTCCCTGTGGCTTCCCGGGCCAGGGCAGCCGGATCAAGTGCTGGAAATGTGAAGACCAGCAGGCTGCGGCTTGTCGCAGTGCTGGGTGGGACGCCGTGCACTCCTCGAGGCTGAGCCGAGCCTCCCTCCGCCAGAGCTCGGAGCATCTTCCTTCCTCCTGCGGGCTTGGGCCTCCCGGACTCCATGTGGTGGTGAGGAAGACATCTAGCCTCCTGCAGAGACGGGGCAGCACAGCCCCGACTGGACAAGGCCCAGGCGGAAGCTCTGACCGCTGCTGGCTGTTGACAAATGACTGACAGCTCTGTACACAGCTGCCCCGGCTGCTTTGTTAGCATTAGCCCTGTCTCACTAGAAGTTAATATGCGGTTTCCCTCGCCTCAGGCCGTGCTGATGAACAGAGATGTTCATCAGATGGTGATGAACAGAGAAGGGAGAAAATCGTTGGAACCTCTACTAAGGAAAAGGCACCAACACGCAGCAGTGCATCGAGGTAATATGTATTACACTGACCGTAAGTAATACTGTCAGGCCTTTTTCGTGCTCTATGCCGCCTCTACCCTAAGACAGCAGACGGTTAGGTCTGTTTCCCATGTGTGTATAAGTGCGTGGCTATAGTCACACTGTGCGAATGACTCTGGGTTCTTCTGTACCACCCCAAACAGTGTTACTAGTGAAGCTGCCGCTCTGGGTTTGATTTCAGGGTTCTGTGTGCGTGGATGCTCCCGCAGTGCGGGAAGCTGGCCCTTCAGAGCCTTTGGAAGTGGCCACGACCACGCTTGACCCCAAGGCTTGCTGTGGCCCCGACAGGAAACCCTGGTCTGGAGAAACTTCCCTTTCAGGCAGGCAGATTTTCAAGTGAGCCAGTTCAAAATCAGTGTGTTTGATTTCTTACTCAAACGAGGGGAAACGAGGCCAGAAAGTCATTTCAGAAGGGCTGGTGAGGTCCCACAGAGAGCAGGGTATCTCCCCACCAGTCCAAAGCGGATAGGGGCGAGTATACAGATCTACACCCTAACATCAGGGCTGAGGCAAAATCCACATAGCAAGAAATTCTCAGCAGCACTGTGGACGCCAGGGAGCAGTGAAAACAGCGTAATATCCAGCTGCACGGAGCGTACTAGTCAATGCACGTAAAAAGCTCTACTAAAGCTTGTTTAAAAATATAGATGATGACAAGCAGGGACATTTGTGATTGGGAGCTCTCATTTTTCTTGGCGTGTACTAATGCACATAGAAACAGGGACAGGGCTCAGTGCGATATTCCGTCCACGTACACGAGTGCACTGAGCAGACCTCGCCTCCCTTTGTCCACGTGCCCCCTCCACGCCCGGCCCTGAAGACAGCGTGGGGCACTCGTGCTTCTGCTCATCTCACTGAGCACAGTGTGTCCCAGTGCTCTTCCTTCGGCCTGAGTGGCTTCCACAGTATGTACACCACGTCCTCTCGATCCATTCCACAAGACGCTAGTGCAACTGAGAGTCTAGTTACACAGTGTTCTGCAGACTGGAGATCTTCACAGAGGCGGGAGCAGCCCGTGTGTCCATTCTCTGTGTATAGATGTTTACCTACACAAAATAACCCAGGAGAATATCAGAATTTTCACATTATGTGGATGGCAAGTTTACGGACTGCTTAAAATTAATTCTCTGTGTGAATTTAGTTGTGTGTGTGATAAGTAGACTGAACCCGGGGTCTCCACACTGAGTCTCCGCTTCATCCCCAGCCCCTTTTTATTTTTTATTTATTTAGGGTCTCACTAAATTGACAAATTGCTCAGACTGAGCTAGAACTTGGGATCCTCCTGCCTCAGCCTCCAAAATGCCAGGTTGACAAGCATGTGACACTATGCCCATCTCCTCTACATGAATTTCTAAAATTCAAGGTTTTCTGCAGTTGGTGTCTCTCATTTTTAGAACTGAGGGAAAGAGATATTTTTAAAATATCTCAATTTTGTTCTTTGCTACTAAAGGTGAACAAGGCAAGTAGGGGTCAGTGAACTGGCTTTTGTGTCGCACAAAGGTTTCGCCGGCTGCCTCAGAGCAGAAAGGGCGCGTACTGAAGGAGCAGCACACCAGTTGTCCCTTGAGGCTCACGGGCATGGGGTTTTAGGGTCACCTGGGCCCAGGCTGGGGGCACGAGTGGAAATGGGGCCCACATGACATCTACATGTGCTGAGGCTCTGAGCCGAGCCCCTGCAGCAGTCGGCTCCACTCTCCTGTCTGCTGGAGGTCACCTCCCTGGTGGTGAGAGTCCGAGTGTTCTCAGGGGCCTCAGCCTGCATGGCATCAGCTGCCCAGGGAGGACAGAGTCGAGCTCGAGGCCTGCACTGCCCCAGGCTCCCACCCAGGCCTGGCAGGCACCAGCAGGGCCAAGAGGACACTCAGTGTCAGCTCAGTCCCTGCACACAGTGGCCAGCCTCGGGCATCCTGGAACCCAGGCCTGTCCTGCTCTGGAAGCCGTGTCTGGGTGTCCAGGCCCCTAGCGCTCGGAACACTGTCCGGGAGGGATGTCAGGTCAGTCCTGCTGAGCACCGTCCAGGCGTGCCCGGTCAGTCATGCAGCCCCTTTCCCAGTGAGGAGCAGGGTCAGAGCCGGGACAGGAATGCAGAACCCAGTCAGACAGAAGCAGCCTGCCTCAGGCTCCCTTGGGTCTGGGGAGTTGAAGCCCGCCGCTCTACCTACCTGTGACCACCCCATCAGCCACGAGAGGACGCCTCAGCTGCTGTCCTCTATAGCAGGTGCCGCTCCTGCCCCTCCAGCCTCCCGACATTGCCCAGGCCTCGGTGCCACCAGTCATGTCCCCTCCTGGCCCACATCCCTTGGCCTGACCAGGAAGCTGCTGCCCCTGCACATACCTGGGAGCAGCACCTTTGCCACAGACGGACTGTTCCCGATGGAAGCACGTGTATCTGTTCTCCAGCCAAATAGAGGATCAGCTGCGGCCGGTTCTGGGCCTAGGAAAGCTCCCGTCTCAGGGACCTGTCCAGGCTGTCTCTTCCCTCCCCACTGTTCGGGCCCTGTGATCCCTCTGTGCACACAAGGCAAGGCACCTGCAGACATCACACACACGGAAGCATGGGGATTTTCCCACAAGCCTCTTTGTAGCTTTAAGAACCTATTTTTCTTTTCATTATTCAATTTTTTAAATGCTTGTACAATAAAAATCACTCATTTTTGATGTACTCTTCTGTGAGTTTAGACAAGGACATGGTGATATAATCATTATCTAAACCAAGGTACAAAGTCAGTTTCATTTCCCTAAAACTTCCCTCCCATTGCCCCTTCCCTTCCTAGCAGACCCTCCCTCCAGTCTGGCTCCTGCAGTCCAGACACCCGTGTGCGTTCTCTTCCGCAGCTCTGCCTTTTCCAAGATGCCATCTAAATGGGCACCTTAGCTTTTAACGTTGGACTCCCTTCACTTTGTGGAAATGATTGGGACATCCACGAGGCTGTGCAGAGCAGTGCTTTGTTTCCTCTTATTTATATTTCATCTGCTTTTTTTTTTGATAAGTAGAATTCTATGTAGGACATAACAGTCTATTTCTGTATAACGGTGTTAGTTTTATTCCGTGATCTATTTCGAGTTCATGTTTAAGTACGGTACAAAGTGCAAGTTTCCTGGGTGAAGACCGCCACCTCCCCTGAACTACCATTGCCCTTGCATCATCAGCTGAGTCTGTTACGCCGATCTGTGTCAGCACCACAGTCTGCAGTGCCATTTTCTTACAGCCATCCCTTCACTCAGATATGTCAGGTCACCAGACATCGCTCTTCTCCAAAATTGTTTTGATTTTAGTTTGGTTCCTTTGCCTAATCCAGTAAGTTTCGGAATCAGCTTGTCATTAGCTATAAAAGTCTGAGCAGAGTTGAATCCATCGCTTGGTTGGAGGAGACCTACTACTGCAACAGCTCCAACTCCTCTCGCCCACAGCGGCCCATCGTCTCCTCCACCAGGCCCTCCTGGATTTGACAAGTGCTCTGTGGCGTTCAGCATGCTTGTTTTTCACATTTGGTTATAACCATAACTAAGTGACTCTTAAAAACACCAGTTTCTAATTACTCACTGTTGATTGTGGTGTGTTTATGATTTTGTAACTTCAGTGGTGGAGTCCAATTTCCCTTTGTGGAGAAGGACATTCTTTAGTTTTTCTTTCTTTTTCTTTTTTTCTTTCTTTCTTTCTTTCTTTCTTTCTTTCTTTTTTTGCCTTTTTGAGGCAGGGTCTCGCTATGCAGTTCAGGCTGGCCTTGAGCACACTTTGTAGTCCAAGCTGGTCTCAAACTCACAACTATCCTCCTGCCTCAGCCTCCCAAGTGCTGGGATTACAGGCGTGAGCCACCAGGCCCGGCTAGTTTATCTTTCAATGTATTACCCATGTGAGACTTTGAGCCTCACCAAGCCTTGTGATTGTTTGATTCTGGAGGAAGTCTAGCAAAAGCATTCCGGTAAAAGGAAATGATAGCAGGACCTTTGTCCCTGTGGAAAGCAGCCTGGACGACACTAGATGCCTTGCTGAGATATGCCGGAAGGAATGATAACATGATGGCTGACTAAGTCAAGTCTCATTCCTGCGATAACTGAGTTGTATTGTCCTCGCTAACCCTGTTAATTATTCCTCCCATTTGCCCTGTTGTTGCTTTTTGTTTGTATCCCAATAAAAGGCTAAGGAGGATGGTAATCGAGGCTTAAATCCGAGAGGCTGCCGCCCCCTGATCCCATACCTGTCTCTCTCTTGTTTTTCTTTTCATCTGCTGGCACCTCGTCCTCAGGACCTGTCACCCCAGACAGAAATGGAATATATACCAGCACCCTTCTCTTGAATGTGAGCTGGCCTCAGTGGCAGATGTGGAGATAGCAGCATGAGGAGGAAGCTCTAGACAGAGACCGGGTCATGAATTGTACGACCCCCTCCCACTGGGACAAACCAAAGCCCTGAGTTCCTGGGAGGAGCTGAAGCCCCTGTCCAAGCCTCCGGAGAGGGGCTGGAGGGGCACCTTGCATCCCCACCCCTAGATCTGAAGCCCAGGCCCATGCCTTAACTGCAACTACATGAGAGCCTCTGAGCAATAACCCATCCCCACAGTGCAGCCCAGCGAGCTGTGCCATGTGCAAAGGCTGATACTGCAAACCACAGTGTTTTGGGGCCATTTATCACACAGTAGGACAGACACATGAATCCATAGAGCGCATCTGACTTTTGTGTACTGACCAAACGACCTTGCCAAACTCACTAGCTTGAGTTAGGAGTTGTTAATGTAGATTCATTCAGATTCTCTACAGAATGTCCTGCCACCTGGTAATAGAGACGGCTTTGATTCTTCCTTTGCAGGACCAAATCCAGTGACTACCCCAAGCACGGAGTACCTAGTGCGTGGGAGTGGACAGGCATGTGGCCACCCTGTCCGTATCTTAAAGGAGAAACACGCAGTGCTTCTTGATGCCCTCTTAACGGATTACAGAAATTCCTTTGAATCCTGCTTAGCTGATATTTATATTGCAAAGGGATGTTGAACTTTGTAAAATATTTTTCCTGTCTATTGAAATAATCACAAATTTTTTTCTTTGTTAATCTTTTGTTCTGATACATTATGTTTTTAGATGTTAAATCAGCTTTCCATTCTTGGGATACACATCACTTGTTGAAGATACAGTACCCTTTTTATGTACTTCTAAACTTTGCTAGCATTTTGTCTACAAAGTTTACATCTCTGGTTATAAAAATATTGATAATCTAGCATTGTTTTCTTGTAATTTTTTATCATATTTTGGCTTCTAGGATGGCTGTCTTCATAAAATGAGGGAAAAGTCTTCTCTTATTTTGTGGAAAGGATTACTTAATATTGCTATTATTACTTAAAAGTTTGGATAATTGCCTAATGAACCC